CTTTTTTTCTCTTTCAATACAATACAATCCAAGAATAAACAAAAAAAAAGTAATTTAGATATTATTCAAGAAACAACTTTAACAATAACTTAGATAAATGCTAGAATATAAAAAATAAATTTTCATAAAATGAGAAAACATATTTGATTTTTTATCACCTTGTTCAATTTTCTCAATAAACTCCAAATTTTCCTCTAAGGAAGATCTCGAACTCGAACCATAAGGATTACGACGAAGCCAATCTTGAGTGCAAATTAATGCTTGAGCCATCTTAGGGGTCATTGAAGCTCGAAAATCATCAATCACTCGACCACCGGTGCTAAACGTAGACTCCGAGGCTACGGTAGATAAGGGCATTGCCAACACATCACGAGACAATTTGGATAAAATGGGAAACCGACGACTATTAAACTTCCACCACTCCAATACATCAAAACCTTTCGAAGCCTTTTCCAAGCGTTCATTTAGATATGTATCTAGCTCCGATTCCTCAAGCCCAATCCCAGATATCAACTCTTGGATTCGCATCTTTTTATCCATTACACTTGACGAAACATTTTCGACATTCGAAGAAGGCGATGAAGTAGAAGTTGATGACACCAAGCCGCTATTTTTTTTATACTCATCAAAAATTTCATAAAGAGCAGTTTTAGCTAAATTTGCTATCTCTTCTCCACGAGCCGAACCATACATACTTTTCAAATATTAATGTAGGACGCCAAACTTGTGACGGGGATCAAGCATAAACCCAACGTACAAAATCATATTAAATTTCTCTACATCAATCCAATATTTGTCAAACTTCTCTTTCATTTTTCTTGCCATTGCAACCAAATCAATATCATCACAACACATCCATTCCATCAAATGCTCATGGACTTCAAATATTTCATCAAAGAAAATGTTAGAAGTCACAAAGAGTGAACCCGAAACTCGGAGAGTGAGATCATAAAAATGACGCAACACTTTGACAATTTTTTCCACGACGGTCCAATCATACTTGGTGGGCAAGCCAATTTTGTCATAAGTTCCACCCGGCATAAAATCTTTCCGAAAGTCAGAATTTTGGATCTCATATCTATCAAAAATATTTTTAAAAATCAAAGTCGTGTCAAGCATCAAATAAGTAGAGTTCCATCTAGTTGCAACATCAAGACACAATGATTTTTTACTCTCAATTTTTTCCTCCACGATTAACTCTTTAAATATCTTCAATCTCATTGGTGACGATCTCACATAGCGAACAACCGCTCGAACACGATCAATGGACGAATTAGTATGTTTCAATCCCTCTTTAACTATAAGATTCACAACATGAGCAACACAACGCATATGCAAGTATTTTCCATTCAATATAGAAGTTCCCCAATTTATGAATCTTCTTTTCAAGTAGGCCAAAGTCACATCATTCGCAGAAGCATTATCAACGGTAATACCAAACACTTTATCAATTCCCCAATCAAGAAGACAAATTTCAATCAAATAACCAACTTCATCCCCTTTATGTTTAGGACAAGGAACAAAATTGAGGATCAACTTATGCAACGTCCATTCATCATCAATATAGTGACCCGTCAAACACAAGTAACTAAGATTTTGATTCGAAGTCCACAAATCAATTGTCAAAGACATTCTCAACCCCAACGACTTAATTAAAGATATCAAACGATTTTTTTCATCAACAAACATGTTCAAACAATCTCTTGCTATAGTCATTCTCGATGGCATAATCAACTGAGGACATGAAATGCACATAAGCTGTCTAAAACCTTCATTCTCAACAAATCGAAAAGGCAATTCATCAACAATTATCATGCGAGCAATGGCTTTCCTAATCGACTCTTGATCAAATTTCCAATTAGAACTCCCTTCTTTTGTGCCCACACTTAAGTTTTGACAAAACTTGGCAATTGTCTGATTTTTATTGTCGGGGTGATTTTTGCACTTTCTCATATGAGTATTAAGAGAAGTCCTACCGTTAAGTTTTGTATGGGCCGCGTAAGTTTTGTCACAATGCTTGCATTGTGCCCTCTGCTTACCATCTACTGTTATTATTTTAAAGTGAGTCCATGCCTTGGCCCTTCTTTTACTCTTTTTTCTTGGAACACCCTCATCCATTTCATCTGATTCCCCTTCTTGCTCTTCCTCTCCATATGGATTTGATGTTTCCATGTCTTCTTTCTCGAAGGCCGAATTTTCATTGTCCAATTCTTGTTGTGGATCCCGGTCATTCGATGAGGCACGGGGCGGTCGTAGTGGGCTTGAACTCGAAGTCCTCGAACATCCCGAACCGCCTTTTTTTGCGTTTTGTACCTAAAAAATACAAGATAATTAGGTTATGTAACTAACGGGCAGAACCACACCCACACAGGTACTCATCAATTCAGATTATATATGGTAACACAAAACTTCTCGACCGGCTGGAACTTGAATAATCGCCTTCCTTCTCACCGGTTGAACGTCGTGCACCTACAAAGAACTCTCACACCGGAGGGGTTTTCCAGTGAAGAGCCTCCGAAACTTAAGTCAGTGTATGTTCAATCAATTCTCAAGAGTAAGTAATAGAATGATCGTGTTGAAGAAGAAGGGCTCACCCCCTTTATATAGGGGTGAGATACCTGACCTAGGGCTGCCCGGATTTGATGAGCTGTCTGCCCTAACTGCCCGTCCGTACACACCAAACGCGTGTGTCAGAGGTAGTCGTCGCCACTATCGCCTGCACCAATCCTCTTTGGACGCGTGTCCTCCTGCACATGGGGTAGGCTGTCAGAGGTGGTTATCGATATCCACCACTGCTTTCTCGACACGTGTCCCCCTGCACATGGGGTAAATATTACCCTGGAATTCCGTTAGAGGCTCTTTCACGCGCCTGTGACTAGGTCGATCAACGTGGTGTTAAGTCCTCGAAGTAGTCGACCTGTTGAGGTCGAATAAGTTGCCCGATCATGTATCTGGTCGAAGGATACTTTGGTCGACGGTTTTACTTGGTCGACTGGTTAACTGCTCGATTTCCTTGACTTCCCCATAATACGACCTCCTCGACTGGTCAATAGACCGGTTCAGCCTAGTGGGTATAATATCCCATATCAATATAATATATATATATATATATATATATATATATATATAAAAAGTGCACATATAATAAAAAACTAAGAACAAATAACTAATATTATATAAAATAACAATAGTATAAATTAAAGTTCTCAAACATGCAGAACATCATGTAGTCTGTAGTTGGAACTCAAATTTTTTTTTTTTTTGAAATTTTAATTTTCTTAGACATATATTCATAACAATACATAATTGAAGTTCATGTACTCAAAATTATATCTCGATTTTTGGTTTAAAAAATCTAAATTTCTTCCATCTGAAACCCTAAAATCCCAAATTGAGATAATTCTATCCAACTATTAAAATTAGTATCTAATTGTTCTCTTTCTTGTAGCAATTACAAAAAACAAAAGTGAAACGAACCAAGTGTCGAGGCGCAGGCCTTGTGAGGGGATTTGGGTGGCGAACTCATTGCTTGCCGACTCGAGTGTGTGCGGGGCTGCGGGTGTATGAGCTCCAATGCCGACAGGAGCGTGCGCCGTGCGGGAGACCGGAGCAATTATCCGTCGTGCAGGACCGTAGGGAGCTTTAAGCTTGGAAGATGAATTTTGAAAAATTAGGTTTTTTCTTTGCAAGTACTGAGTGTCGGCCGCGGGGTTGGAGAATGCCAGAATGGAGATTGGACTTTGGAGAATGACTAAGTATTAGATATATACTGATATATTAAGATTTAAGATAATAAGGTTAATGTTTTCATTCTTTAATTAATAGTTTAATTGATAAGTTGGGTTTTGTAACTTTTGTTTTTATTTATTTACAAATGTTTGGGTTGGGCTTTAGGTTGGTTGATATATATAATAAATGGGCCAATCAAATGGACTTGAATTGATATAAATATTAGAAAGATAATGTATTATAGATATAGGCTTAAGGACATAACTAACCCTCACATAAAACAAAATTCTATTTAGAAAACCGAGTATATGGAATTCCAAAATTACTCCAATAGGTAGTTACATATTAAATTAACTGCCAATAGGTAGTTACATATTAAATTAAAAATTAAAAAACTTAAATAAATAATTTTTTATTCTATCTCTTCGCTCTCTGATTTCTCTTTTCAGAATTTTTCTTTCTTCTTCTCTTTTCTTGTTGTTCTTCTTCATCTTGTTCTTCAAACATGAAAGCCTAAAAAAAATCCACACAACAAAAAAAAAGATTAATCAGTTTGTTATATACATACCTAACAGTTAAATTAACTAAAAAACAACACGAATATGTATTATAAAAACAAAGAAACAGATAAATAACAACAATACAACAATAAAATAATTTTCAAGCAACATAAAAACAACTATGAGTAAACATTAACCATTTGCACTTGTCAATTCACATTCAAAACCGTGCACATCCAACTTAATCTTTATAAATTTATAGATAAAGCTGTCAAGGCAAAAAAAAAAAAATTAATTTTTTTGCAAAAAGAAATAACTTACAATTTTTATCCTTCACTTGGGATTGAATGTATGCCTACATCGCTTCTTCCACCCACAATCGAGGTCCGATCGTTCGCCGCTCGAGAGCAGAACTCGTGGATCACCCACAACCGATTCAAGGTGAACGGAAAGACCCCGCCTCCGCCATTGGACGAGCAATCAATTTATTGGTCTGATCTACGAACTGTTCCGTCGTCAGTGCAAGAGAAATTATCGGATGTGTGCATACCCAGGATCAATTTGTAGACGGCGAGATCCCCGCCGTCTGATGAGGGCGGCGACGACATCCAGTGGACGGTGAGGGACGACCACTCTATGGAGTGGCAGATGATCAGGTCGTACATTAATGGCATGTTCTTCCCTCTCCAAATGTGAAATCCGGGGTAAACCATGGCAGCGATTCGATTATGATAGGTTGGGTCGTCTGGGCACTGGGCAAATGATGACGATGTTGTATTTTTTGAATTTCTACCACAACCCTAATTTAATTATTAGGAATAACAATAATAAAAAATTTAGGTTTTTTCTAGAGTGTATCGTGTTAATTAGGAAATTAAGAAGAAGAAGAAACAAAGAAGGAGATGTTCTGCGAGAACAAAAAAGAAGGAAGGAAGAAGATGAAAAATGTGAAAAAGAAATAAAGAAAACGTGGACTAAACGGAATGATAACTAATATGGTTAATATGAAAACCGTCACATTAAAATAACTGAATATGTATAAAAGTGAGTTTTAAAAAATCATTATAAGAATAAAAAGGAGTAGTAATGGAAACTATAATGCGCTCAAGCCAAAAAGGAATAATAATTTCTTAAGAGATAAGGAGTGTCATTAATTCTATAGATATATGTAGTGGGCTTTCTTAAGTAATATATATTGGTTTTCGGTTCCGTTTGGTTAACCGAACATTATATCGAAACCGAACTGAAAATCGAAATTTTAAAAAAACTCAAACTGAAAACCGAACCAAAAAATCGATTTCGGTTTTGGTCCAAACCGAAATTTCGGTTTCGGTCGGTTATCCAAATTTTGTGCACCCCTAGATTTAACTAGTGATTGTTATTTAACTATAGTTAGTTTTGAAAAAAAAAAATAGTAGAGTTAGTTGTTAGTGTATATATAAAATAATAGTTAAATAAAATAATTAAAGTTGATTTGATGTAAAATAGGAAAAAAATGATTGAAAGTGATGGTTAGTCGAAATTATGTGAGTTGATAAATAGTGAATTAAAGTTGATGTGATGTGTAAGAATCAGTGTTTTAAAACGCGTATAGCGTAATGTGTTGCATTTTGATCTTTATACTGCGTAGCGTAAATAGCGTTGCGTGTTGCATAAGCTATTTGTGTATTATTTCTTTTTATAGAAACATTACAAGTATATTTGCATATAATAAAAATGGATGGTTGATTATAAAAATTATCATAGTATTTGAATGACTTCAAAAATAACATCTAAGGATTAATTCTGACAAATGTTTAATGTAAATATCATCATAATATAAAAATTTAATAATAAATCAAATATAATCAAAAGTAAAAACAAACAACGAAAATATAATGAGGTACTACAACTTAATTCTAACCATTAGATATGGACTTTTTATTCTTTATTTAAATGTCAAATATTAAAAATAAAATGATATAAGAAAAATGAACCAAAAAATATTGCACTATTCAACTTACGACTTTGCATTTTCAAATTTTTAATTTGTAAACTTTATCAAAATTTCTAGTTTTTAATTGTCATTTGTAAATAAGACTCTGATCCCTAAAAATACGAATTTTTGAATATTTTATTGTTCAAATGTCGTTGCATAAATATAGCGCACAATAGCGTGAAATAGCACAAAATAGTGTGCCGTTTCAACATTTCGCGTGAAATAGCACAAAATAGTGTGCCGTTTCAACATTTCGCGTAAGCTTTTCGGGGAAAACACTAAATATATAAGGCTACGTCGCGTTTTTCCGAAAAAAAACTATATAGCGAGCTATTTAAAACAATGGTAAAAATGATTGGTTGATATTATTTAATCACGATAATATAGAGGATAATGGGGTTGAGTTAAAGTTGAGTTAAATTTGAGTTTTGATTGATTTTTTTAATTGAATTGGTAAACAATCACCACTTAACTTTCAACAAATTTTCAAAACACTCCCAAACTCCCTCGACAGATTCCCACCAAATCAATTCCAAAACAACGGCAAGTCGTCCTCATGACAAAGACAAAGGTCCCATGATTTCTCTGACCGTGACCGCCAGCTGGCTGCACCTTCAATCGGACGCGTTCGCTGGACGTGGAGCTTCGTCGGCTGAACGCCGACAAATTTTTATTTTTTTAGATTTTTTTTTTAATGCTTGAAATTATTAAAATGTGTTAAGATATTTTAAATGTTTAAATATTTAAAAATATAATGGAATTAATCTTTTTTTAAAGTTAATTTAGATAAATTTTGGTTTAGTAGTTATTAATATATGTTACTTATAAGTAATATATTATATATATTAGTTAAATGTAATTATATTAAAATTATGATAATAATACTTTGTAATAATACTATTTATTAATAGGATAATGCATCTAACTTTAGTATTTTTTCAGGAATCGAATTAGTTGTGAGTAATAAAATGGTTTGTTGAGTAGTTATTAGTTCAAAAATTATAATTAGTATTCTAATATAAGGTCACAAAATTGTATAATTTTAATTGATTTGTTTGTATAATTATATAATCTAAAAGTGGAATTATATTAATTATATGGTTATGAATAATTACTATATTTATTTTTCCATCATTCGTCATCCTCGTTGCGTATTCGCGACCAATACACTTAAAGATTATATTATATATATTAGCTAAATGTAATCATATGAAATTATTTTAATAAGAATTAAATTTAATAATAAAAAACTAATTATGCATTCATGGGAAAATGCATCTAACTTATATAATTTTGGGAAAATAATTACTTGTATTATTTAATAATGTGTTTAAATTAATTACTTATTTAGTGTATGCATTAGTTAATAGGTAATTACTAATAAACCATTACTACTATTTCATATTTTAGGCAATAGCAATAATATGATTAGTATGCAAAAATATTAGTAATAAATTGTTAATTGTAATTATCTTATAATAATTAATAAAATATATGAATAAAAAAAAGTTGTTTACTAATTATTAGTTTAAATTATTTATTTAGACTGATAGTAGACCTGCGCGACTGGTCACCGATACAGAGAATATCGAGTTTATTGATTCTCGACCCCGACACACTAGGAGTCGATATGTGCATACTTCTACTCGTCGGGCAAGAGACACTGAGATGCAGTGTCAGATTCACCTGAGAAAGACTGGTCACGCTTACTAGTCTTTGCACGAGCAACGGTTTGGGGATTTTCAGGCTGACGCTTCGAGACGTCTCACTCTGGTACAGACCGATTTTAGAGTTCACCAGTCCCACTTTGAGCAGCAGGGTTATTATGATGAGTCTCATTTCGAGAGGTTGCAGTTCTCAGAGGATTTTAAGGACTTTGAGTCTGGAGATTACCAAGACATTCCTTCTCCAAGACAGGCTCTTGCACGACCTGCTCTTCCACGTGTTGGGAGTCGTTTTGCGAGCACTAGATCCACAGGTAAATAATTTATGTACTTATGCTGTTTGCCATTAAAACAAACTTATCCTCTCTGGAATCCATTCAATGCACACGATGAACTAGTGTAACCAATCAGTCAGTACAGACTATATAGTTAACACAACAACCGTTCACGGGTTGTTCAATTCCATCTAAGTCGTGAACCAAATATTCATGTTTTACAAGTAACCAATAATATGATCTTTTGTTCACATGCGATGAACTATTTATCAAAATGTAAGGCATTAGAATACAGATTGTTTAATTAACACATGATTCTCATTCAAATGGGTATAGAGCCAACAAAAAGCCGAACTTTCATTTTAAACACCAACAAGATGAACCTTGGGTCCTCTTCCAGGAGTCGATCTTTCGGGCCTCCAGACTCTGCCGAGATGACTACCCCTTTTTGGATGCCTTGGGGGGGGGGGAACAATTCGTCGGACAGTCATCTTAAGTCGACGAGAGGTCTTCTCAGAAGTGGCATGTCGGGTTGGAGGGGGCAGGTCACCGAGGTGCTTCCCGCTCGAAGGTTGGGCCTCTTGTGAGGTATGCGAGCGAGAAGCAGACTATGAAGGCTGGAGGTTGAGGATGCATGAGCCAAAAACCTTATCTGCAAAAAGAAGAAAATGAAACAAGGGTTTAGAGATCAACAAAGATACCGAAAAATAGAGATATGTTGTTAGTAGTTAGTACCTAAAGTGTCATCGAGGGGCTTTTCCATAGCGGTTAACCTCGTGAAGCAGTAAAGGCTTGCATCATTAGCGAGCTTCATCGCATCAATAGAAGCCATATTCCAAGCAACGACGACCTAATTCCAATGAGGGTTAGATCGAGGTTTTTTCCTCTGACCAATACGCTCGTGTATCCATTCGGAGGAGAAAAGAAACTCGTCAGGAAGAGGTCAAGCATAAAAAAATCAGGTTTTCAATGAAGAAACATTCGAGGGGAGATCCTTGATGAAAGAATCCCCATGGCGAGCACTAAGGTAGTGCGATCCTTTTTGGGGCTTCATCCCGTAGTAGCAAAAGAATATGTTATGTTTGAGCTCCCCCGAATGAACACGACTAAGAATGACGAAGTAAACCATCAAGGGGATGACGTTAGGGGAGAATTGCTTCACATGCAGGCTATAGAGCTCGCTCAAATGGGTTAGGTCGTCTCTAATGGGAAAGAAAAGTCCACTATAAATTTTGTCTCGAAAAATGGTATAATAGTCATATGTGGGCAGGTCGTAGGAGTCAGTCGGTTTGGGGATAACGAGATCCCAAGTATTAGGTAGCTCGCAAATGCGTAAAGGTGTTAAGTTGTCCGGAGGTCATGTGACAAAAGGATTCAGTCTACAGGATTCCCAAATCTCGACTAACTCAGACAAGGGTAGAGAGCTATTAATAGTCAGCTGAATAGTGGAACTAGTTGAAGGTGTCGGTGGTCGTCGAGGTCAGGATGCTTTGGCCAACTCGTTTAGGAGAGAAGGTGTGTCTTCTAGGTCGAGGGGCAGGTCTCAATGAAGTAATGGAGCTCGGACCAACTGATTTTGCCCTTAGGATCATCAGTCCACTTGAGTCAATGGGTCTCAGCTAAAAGCTCGAAAGGCAGGTCGAGGATTTCAACTGAAGATGACGAATTTTACTATATCCAATGTCAGTTTGTACTACGGTTCAAGGTCGAGGATTGGGGCAAGATAAAACAACAAACCAAAGGAGAAAAAAAAAAGATGAAAACGATGACAAAAGATAGAAGAGAAGGAGAGGTCGAGTTCGAATAAAAAAAGAAGAAAAACTAAAACAACAAATCCATTTTAATCCAAGTTTTTGAATTTGATGAGAAAAGAGGGATCGCTGGAGGAATTTTTAGGCTCGTCGGAAATAGTAACGTTGAATATTCAATTGTATGCGAGAGGCTTAGTAAGCAAAGAGTTGGAAAAGAAAAAAACTTAGATGGGGCAAGATCTATTTAAAAGCAGCGAGGTGGACTATTTGAAAGGTCACACATTTCTGGCCGTTGGATTAAAAGTAAAGACTCGAGGATCTACGATCCATATACGCATCGATATACGAGGTGTCGCCTCGATGGGCGAAACGGTGCAGGTACTCGAGTGCTTTTGGTAGGTGATGTCGGGAATTTAATGTGGCCGACACACGTTTTGGAATCTCGCGTTAATACCTGACGAGCCCACTTCTTTGTAATTATGACTACACGTGGCATAATCTGTGTACTCATAAATAGGGAAAGTAGTTAATATAACATCGATAGCTTAGCCTACAGAATGGATTCCTCGGTTGACGTAGACCGGAGACTCGTAAGTCGACCTAGAATGGAGGCTCTTAGGTCGACCTGGACAGAAGATACGTAGCTCGACCTATCAATCATGCGGACTCATAGAACAGTTATGTCGACGTAACGGCATGTTGACCAATTAATGTGGAAGACAAGCCAGTCGGATTAATGTATCAAGTTTCCAATTATCCATATAATCGACTTGGACAAGATAGGACATTCTTGCAAAACAAAACCGGTATATTCTTGTATAAAGGCAATGATTTTTACCACACGTAATTATCAATAATTTTCGAGATCTATACATATTATCTTTCAATATCGAGAACTAACTTGATCATTGGAAAACATATGTTGGGAAGATCTCGACGCCTTTTCAGGTGTTCCGATAAACCAGTTATGTCGTCTCGGTCTCGGGAGGAAGTGCAACAACCCCAAACCAGCAGCTTAGCTCTTGAATCGATCTTACTAGCTAAATACCTTAGGTCTTGAATCCGGGTTACTAGCTAAATACCATATCAATTATGATACCCCAACAGCCTTACCAACGAAAACTATGCGTATATGATCCTCTCTTTTCTACATGAAGATGATCTCCTTTCTTTTTTACATATTTCTTGCATGTGGAAGTTTTTCTTGGTATGTGTATAGTTTCTTTGTGGATCTTCTTCTTCTTCACTCTCTCTTTTTTTTTTTCTTTTCTTGTAACTTAATCTCTTTCTTCCTCGTCCAACACACACACTCATACAAGCATAGGGAAAATGTAAAGGGACTCATGTACATGTATGACATGAAAAATGAACAAAAAGAAAGGAAGACAAAATGTGTTCATCTTGTGATGTTATTTCTTGTTTTTTAACCGTCTTCTTCAGTTGGTCATCTTTTATCTTTTCGACGAGCTTACAAAACACTCTTTATTGTCCATTTTCCTCCAGGGCAATACATTATACATCAGTACCGCCTTGCCTGAGACCACCTTGCCTCAACATTCATCATTTAACAGTTCAGTTATAAATCGTTTATCTAAACTTCCAAATGCAACTTCAATTCACTTTCTGTAGTTTGCTCGGCAAGGCCTCCGTTTTGAAGGGGCCTTCAACACCACAGCCACTGAGGGTTTGACAGAGCATGATAGCTCATCATGCACTGGGTACAAAAGGCACGCGAAATTCAATATAATTTTATCGGCAAAGCAAACGAATTGACTCCGTCCTGATTACAGAATTTACAGTTTTCCATGTGATGAGATCTAATTAAAATACCCCGTCTAGACTCATCTCCTCTGGAAGTTGAAAGATTTTATGGCGAAAGCAAAAATAAGAGAGAATAAGAAACAAAACCCAACGGTCATAAACCCCGCAATGCCAATGAAATCATGCCTGAAGCCGAAAACATTCTTAACCAACAGCCTCGTAGACAACACGTGGACTCCATCCGAAAGTTTCACAGGTTTTTCACTGTCGGCATATTGAGAAGCAACAAGACCGTAGAGACTCCAAGCAACGGGATTTGCCCAATAGTACCATCTCCACCATATCGGTATTCTCTATAGAACAAGAAAAGAAAAATCATTCGACTCATGTCTGTTAAGTGTTAAACATGATTATAGCGTGAATGCTTAAATCTATTATGAGAATGTCTCACATAAATTTTGCATGTTCATACTTTTAAAGTCAAAAGTAGTACTTATCTAACAAACTATTTACACCGATTACATAATTTATTACTATAACTCTAAACTCGGAGAAAGTCTTATATCCCGTTACCTTGTGAGGTATCATGAATCCGCTAAAGAGATTCCAAAGCATGTAAAAAGGGGCACCGATAATGGCAGCCACATTATGGTTGGGTGTAACAGCCGTCGTCATCATCCCGTAAAAGGTGAAATAGAGCATAGTGAAGTACATAAAAAACATGTACCACAAAAATTTGGAGGCAGTCCACTCAAAGGAGGCCATCGAGTAAAATATTGCCGAGTAAATTATTGCCTGTGTGAATACATATGGAAACTCAATGGCAACCTGCATAAAACGAGACATGTGATTGCATCACACTGAACGGATTCAGAAAAGAGTAAATTATAAAGTGATGAATAGCGAAAGCAACACCTGAGCAAATGCGAATGGCAGAGCCGAGTATGTTCCGGCTGCTCTTTCTCTGTATGAAACAAACCTTTCGACAGAAACAACTGGTTGAACAGCAGTACCATTTGTAACTCCAATGAACAGCACTGCTACGTACATTGATCCCATAGCATTGAAAATGTCTTGCTGAGTCTCCCTGCGAATAGAAAATCAAAACAGCATATAAAACATGGGAAATCCCAAAAAATAGAAGTGCTCGTGACATTAAATGTTCAAGTTCTTCAATTAAACAAACAATGAGTTTCTATGGTTGGATTCTATTTATGCAGAAATATCCATATGACTAATGCCTCACAGTTTAACATCTCAGGATGTTAAATTTGACTCTGGAGTTCATTTTGAAGTTTCTTTAGGAAAAAAGGTAAGTAGTCAGTGTTGGTGGAGGCAATGTATAGTCAAATTTGCTATTTTGTCAATGGTTAAAATGCACTTCATAGGTTGTCGGATAGAATATCAGCTCATTAAAGGTTCCGATTAACTTGATTGAATACAACAGTAATGCATTTCTTTAAGCCACGACACATTTCTCAACTACTTCGCTTATAATTATAGCATTTACAAACAAATTACAGCCATAGAACAATCATCACTCAAATTTTCATACCCCAGCGTTTCAGTAAACAATGCGTTTCAGTAGTTCAACGTGCTTTGATGTAATATTGACCGCCATATTCTATAACTAGTGATGGATGTAACACTGTTACACTGATGAACAATTTTGGTGAATTTTTTCACATGTTACATCTGTATGCAAAACATAAAAAAGAAGATTTAGTTCTTTTAATTTCGCCTATTAATTTTGGTGTTTGAATTTGAAAAAGAAATTATGTAACTCACAAACTTCCAAAGCAAAGAATGTTGGAAGTGATTGAAGATATATATATTAATTTTTATGAATTATACCAATATATAAATAATGCAAACCTTTTGGAACCAAATTCCCAGCATATTGTTCCAAGCATCAGTGATATTATTACTGTATAGAAGAACCGAACTGCAGTGTATTGTGGATTTCGCCAGTAAGATAAGTTCTGTTTCCAAAGACAAGCCACAAATTGTTCGAAGTATGACCGAGTATACTTTGTAGGAAACTTAATATCCTTTGAATCAGCGGTCGGTTTGCTTAATCTCTCAACCAACTGATTATTAAACCTGAAAAATAAATAAAACATATAATTCACAAGAATAATATAAATTACAAAGAAGAAAAGATGAAGCTCAGAAAACTGAACTATCTCGACATACTGAAATAGATTAGATTTTCTGTAAATTTCAGCAAAATCAACATTCAGGCGGTGCTCCTCTGCTGATGATGTAATCTCTAACATCCATGTAGCAGGATTATACCCAGGCTTGATCTTTGGTACTCCTTCAATTCCCTAAATAGCGGAACACATAACAATTCCATTGACCAAAATTACAATGTTAACAGTTCACGGAATAGAATTAAAAAATTATTATATGGCAAACCTCGAAATACTCTATCAGTTTGCTAGATTTGGTTCCAAGTGGACCAGCATAAATGAGCTCCCCTCCTCGTTTCATTAATAAAAGCTGCATATAATGAGATCAATAGATTATCAGTAAGATATTATTTAAGAAAGTAATACATATAATGAACACTCTGAAGATGACAAATAATTGGAATAGATAAAGAAGTAACAAATAGTAGCAAAACAATGACAACGCTACGACTCAATAATTATTTTACCATTCGGTGAGATGACAAGTGATAATAAAGACTACTAAATCAGAAATTTTTGTAAGAACATAATAAGACCTCGTCAAAAGATTCAAAGATGTCGATGCTAGGTTGATGAATGGTGCAAACAATTGTCCTTCCAGTATTCACTATATTCCTCACAGTCCTCATGACGATGGCCGCAGATCTAGCATCCAACCCTGATGTGGGCTCATCCATAAATACTATGGAAGGGTTGGCCACGAGTTCTACAGCAATAGTTAGGCGTTTTCTTTGCTCTGTTGATAATCCATCAACTCCTGGCAGACCAACCAATGCTCCTTTCAAAGGAATGAGCTCCACAAGTTCCATGACCTCATCAACAAAAGCCTGAGAATTAAGATTACCAAAGCTATTGGCTGTTAAAGAGTGAGCGATAAAATCTATAAAACAGAAAAGCAATATCGATTGTACCTTTTGGGTTTCCAAGTCAATATCGGACGATAGGCGCAGCCAAGCAGAGAAGAGAAGTGATTCATGAAGCGTCAAGCATGGGGAATGAATATCATTTTGTTCGCAGTATCCTGATATTCTGGCAAAAGTCTCTTGTTTTTTAGGATAACCAGATATTTTGATGTCTCCTTGTATGAGTCCACCAGTCTTTCTACCAGCTAATACATCCATGAGGGTGGTTTTCCCAGCACCACTCACTCCAACCAATGCAGTGAGCACGCCAGGCCTAAATGCTCCTGTAATGTTATTCAACAACTGCAGTTTTTCCTCTGATATGCCTTGCTGTCTCAGCTCCTGAAAATCATATGCCCATAGTAAGGGTAAGAAAGTATATACATACGGAGTAAATGATTTTAACTTAATGGAGGGTGTACGCACCAGGGGCACATCTACATAGTAACAGACATTGCTAAATGACATCGAGAGTGGCTGAAAAGGGAGTGCCATGCCTTTTTGTTTAAAACTCTTTTCTGATTGACAAAAAAAGTAATATATTTAATGTGGTAAGTAAATAGCAGAAAGCTTAGTCCGAGTCTGGCAATGTATGCATATAAAAGTTGATAATTGTTACTTGCAAATGAACCCGAGTGCTGTAAAAAGTCCCTTAGCTGGATTACAGCTGTTTCTCCTTTCTGCATCTTCTCCTTTTCTTGAAGCTCTTCTTTAGAAACAACTGCTTGGCGCTTCCCAAGAGCTTCATGATTTGAAACAGTAAAAGGAAATTTAGTTTCCACAATAACTGCAGAAATTTGGGAGTAAAAAGAAAGAGGGAGAGGCTCACGGTTCAGCTTCGAGAGACTCAAGGTGAAAAGGATATTGAACAAGATGGTGTAACCAATCAAAGCACCAATGCCAATCCAGTACCAGTAACTTTCGGTGAACAAACTGCGACTGTTTAGCAACGCTTTTCCTAATGACAAAGTTGAGTTGATGCCACTTCTCTGCACTCACAGAAAGTGTGACATTAGTAATATTTGTCTGTGTAGTCTAACAAACACGTAGCTCAAAAGAAGATTGAACGAATCAGCTTTGAATTTTAAAATAAATGTAAAATTCAAGTTTAAGACCCAACATGTACCATCTTTTCCTTTTTTAAGAAAGAGGAGGTAAATACCTTGAAATAAGAAAATAAATTCATTGTATAATTGGAAAAGTTAAAATAAGCCTACGGTTGCTTCCAAACTAAACTTTCTAACATCAGGTTCAACTTAAACTGTTCAGGTTCTTCAATAAACTGTTTCGCATTCCGCATCAAATTCCAAGAAGCCAAAAGAAGATGCTTAGCTAACTAAGAGGCATTATTTTTCCAAGTCCAAGAACAATTCTCCCCACTCACAAAGACAGGGAGTTTATCACCATTTTCCTTTTCTTACTTTTACCATTGAAGCTTCACACAGCCTTTATCAGACTTTTACCATCGAGTTCATGATGTCAAAATCATTTATATAAATCCTGTCACAAATATAATCGGAAAACAAGCATTTATAGATGAACCCAGTAAGGTAAATGAAATACTGCCAGCAGACAAGCAATTTTATGCACAAAAAACACAAACAAAGCTGTATTAGGCATACTTCACCACAGACAGGATTATTTTATTTATAAGGCTTTAGAAGTGACATGCTCTTTCTAAGTAGTGTCTGTCAGTATTCAGGAGAAACTGATATATATGTCTTCATCAATAACTTCCCTGTTTAAATGATGTGAAATCACCCTCGGATGACTGAAAGATGAGCAGTATTATTGTTTTATTGCAGTTGGATTCAGTCAAATTAGATACATTACATTGGGCAGAGCAGATTTGTTTCTTTATGCAATTTAACAATTACCAAGCAGCTCCTCAAAGAGATACTTCCAACCATATGACATTTTATACTTTTTAGCCGAACTATTTCTCTGGCATTCAATCAATCACTTCTTTGATATGAACTACTGACAAACACTAGAATTTGATATTTTGTCATTTATGATGAGTCTTTGAGGTCAAAGTTACTGAGGTCAATAATTGAAGATATACCTTGTCCCAGGAATGCCCAAGGAATTCATTCACAGAAGCTGCATCCTGAGCATACATTAGTGGAGAAACCCAAAATCCCCACATCCACCAACTAGGAATCCTGTCTGTCAAAGTCATTGAAGAGAGTCATCAGATTTCTCGGAGAGTTTAGAAATTATATTTCACTAAAAAATCCATGGAGAAAAGGTTTACCTCTCGAAATGATGTATCCTCCAAGAGCCATGACTATCAACATAGCAAATGATCCAAACGTATTTGCCACGATCATGTTACGACCCAAGGAACCCATAAGACGGAAAAGGGATAGAGACATTTGATGAAGAAAGAAGTAAAGCACAAGTTGCCGAAGAAATCTGCAAGGTTAATATATTCAATGCATATTATTTGTTTACTCATCATTAACATCATCATTGCAAATCTTCAAATAATCTATTCACCTGAAGATATTTGGATCAAATCCAACCACATAATATGTTACTGCCACCCAAAAACCAGACTCTATCAATGATGTTGGAATGCTCAAAAACCATGAAGGTATAGTATATGCCCAACTAGGGTACAACTTCAAATCCCTGTGTTTGTAAAGTACAGGAAGCTTCGCCACGAGCATGGAAACCTCAGTGAAGCCATTGAAAAGAATAATCACCATTGAGAAGTACAACTCTCCCAGATAAAAACCTCCATCATCAATTGTATTATGACCCAGAGTAGCCCGGCAAAACACACTCATGGTGATCAGCGCAACCAGAAGAAGCTACAAATCATCACATTCAGTGCATACATTAGTAAGATTATATGTTGGCAATAATAATAATAATAATAATAATAATAATAATAATAATAATAATAATAAAACTTAACCAAAATCTAAACAGCCTGGTTTTTCATCTGCAAACTTTAAACTCGTTCTCAGTTAACTAACAAAGCATTTGATGATGATGATATACCTGAACAAATTTAAAAACATAGATAAACAAATTCCGTTTCATAAGCAGCAACTGCCAGTGAAAGTTGGTTTTAAGAAGTAAAATCTTCTTGACCCCATATTGTGAAGATGACAAGGCTGCAGGATGGTTGTAGCGCTTATCATATGGATTAGCCAGCTCTTCAGATAAATTCTTCCCAATGTTGTATGATCCAAAAGCTTCAGCAAACTTTGCGACCGGTATGTATCGATAAGGCTGATAAGGTAAAGCCCAATACTGTTCTTGATCTTTTTTCGACACAACCTACATAAAACAACTTCAGCAAATTAAAAACCCATAAAACAAAAAAATAAAATAAAATGACCACAACTGGCAGCACAATCTCTTAAACATACTTCTTGAAGGAAGTCTGCAACATTTTTCCGTTCTGGGCAACGGAAGCCCATATGAGCAAAGAATTCAGGGACAGCTGTACGAGGTCCCTGGTATACAATTTTTCCCTCAGACAAAAGGATAATGTCATCAAATAACTCGTAAGTCTCAGGTGCTGGCTGAAGCAGAGAAATGACAGTGCTTCCATCTAGTTCACGTGTGGAATGCCTAAGATACTTTACAATATGGTATGTTGTTGAGCTATCAAGACCAGTTGATATTTCATCCATGAATAACACTCTTGATGGAGCCACTAATATTTCGCCTGTCGAAAGAGCAGTCAAGTGAGCTTGTAACTGTGCTTCTAGTTTTTCAATCAAAATCATAATTTTATCTCTAGTACCTGTTGTCAGACGCTTCTTTTGACCACCAGAGATCCCTTTGATCATTTCATCTCCAACAAGAGTATCCGCACAAAGGTCCAAACCTAAAATCTTTAGAATCCATTTGTTAGCAGAATGAACATAATTGAGTGATGGCAATACTGCCTAAGATGTACCCTTATTTGTTACCTAAAACTAACATAACCACTAGTAGACAATTTATTTGAAACAACTAATAGTGTGTCGATGTGGCAACTGATTAATGATAACCAAAATTGAATACCGTTAGCAAACAACAACCAGTATTACCAAGTGAAATGATTAATCATTCTCATGGAACACCTCAAAGTCTTAATGATGACTTCTGGAATTATATCATGATACCAGTTACTTTATGTGTCCTCTGTTTCTAAGTCTTTCATGGCAAATCATGTCAGATGTTCAAATTAGATAAAGTCACCTTGATAAAACTTTTGGTGGTATATTATAGCTTTAGATAATTAAGTACTCGATGAATTCACGAACAAATAAGTACATCTTTTTAATGCATGAAACCACATTAAAAGAAGCTTTCACAGAACTCAATTCTTTCGAAGTGGACAAAGCACATAGCTTAACAAAAATACAATTAAAACTCTGCGTGTTATGTTGCCAATATGAAAGTATCAGAATAAGAATGTTCAGTTAAAAACTAGCACGCTATTGCTGCTGCTGATCTACCAAAAATTACCTTCATAATGTATTCCACCAAGAGGCCTGTCTCCTTCCCTTCTAAGGACAATGCCTGGACAGTTGGAAATATACCGAGGTGAAGCTTTTTCAGGTATCAAATTCAGTTGAAGTAAATTCAAGAAGAATAACGAAAAATGTAGAACAATATTTATTCTTATGGGAAAATAAAAATATATGAATTATAAGGTCTAATAAAGGGTGTAATACATAAACACTGGTCATGTAAGACCAAAATATATGGTGTGATTGGATATGTTATCATTGGAAACTTTTTATTTCACCAGAAAGAAACTTCAGGGAGAAAAGGAATAATTTGAAAGTGTGATTGATGATAGCATAGATATGTATTGATTAAAGTTGATATGATGTAAAAATAATAATGTTATGAGTGGTAGTTAGAAATATGAGTGGATGAATAGAAATTTTGTACTAAATTGTGCACTAATGATTGATTTGTCTTTTTAAAATTGTATTATTAAAATTGGGGTGGGAGAGATGACTTAATAGTGTACTTCACAAGAAAATTTTATCTGGTGGGATGAAAATGTACACTAAATCATATCCACTCGCAATTCATATTCCAATTTGTGTTGAGTTTTGGGACCCACGTCCTGTCATTGATAAGGAGACATAAAAAATATGGTGTCCATGAGCTCCAAAAACTATGGAGGTTATTGGATCATTTGGGAAACCAAAGGAGAAAACTTCATATTGCACATAATCAAAAGTTAAGTTAAAGTGAAGAACCCAATTATACATAAGAATGCAAGTACCTTCATAAATATATCAAGATCTTCATCAGGTTTCATTCCAGAAATCTTCTCTCTTCTAGAAAGTTCCAGAAGCATATCTGTCAACTTTAAGGGTCAGCACCAGAGCCACCTTATAGTATGCTAAAAGAAAATTCTATCAACCTTACCATACTTATAACCAACGCCTTGACAACGTGCTGAGAAGTCCAGTGTCTCTCTAACAGTCATCTCAGCTACATGCCAATCTTCCTGAGTAACATAAGAAGATGTCCTCTGTGGTACAAACTCGGTCAGACCATGTCCATTATAGGTTATTTTACCTGACACCTAAAAGTAAGCAAAGTTAGACAATAATTATCACGTATATCTATGTTTGCTTGATAAAGCATGGCATGAATTATAAGAAACCTTTACCTTAAGATCAGATTTGAGGCGCCCTGCAAGTGCTAAAAGCAGTGTTGTTTTTCCAGAGCTTGGAGGACCTAATAATAAAGTTAACCTAAAGAATAAACAAACACATAATAAGATACAAGAACAAATTAATACCAAGTTGACCGGTTTCGAATGTTATATCAGTACATGCCTTCCTGGTCGGATTATCCCACTTATATCATCTAAAATTGTCAGCTTTCTTCTATTTCCAGAGTGTATCCTTAGCTGCCTGAATAAAGCCTAAATTGGAAATTAAACAACCAGGTCAGACACTAAACAAAAATCAAAAGTTATAGTTGCCATTATTTCGGATAGCTCATCTGTACCTCAGCCATGTTGATGATAAAGTTTGAAATCGTAGGCAAAGCTCTACTACCAATGTGAACAGACGATTCAACAGTTAAATTGTGAAATCTGACTTCAACAGCTGGGAAACCCAGATCAACTCTGCAACATTAGATCACAAAGAAAGCATCCATAAAGTCAACATTGCATGATTCTGTTCAACAAGTAAATCGATATCTGAAAGAGATCTCATTCAATAACTAGTACTGTCATTTTATAAACAGTCTCAATATAAAAGCTTCGATAGAAATTAAAAAGAAAACCATCCAGCAGAATTATGCCAAATTACTGGCTTCCGTATTGGAATCGGAACCACATTGTCTTTTTGATTGCATGTGCTAAGTTGGTTGTTTCCTGTATAATAAATTCTTTATCCAAAATTGGTTCAATGCTGATATTAATTCAGTAGCTTATGACACAATTATATTGTATGAATAAATATGACATACAATCCAATACACATCAGAAACTTCTAGCCTAATGATAGGTGCAACACTAGTTAGCGTTCCATTAGAAAAAAAAACTGATAATTAACACATGTCAAGTTCCCAATATGAATTCATTACCACCATATTAGCATGTAAGGAAATGAGAGCAGGTGATTGTGTCAAGTGATTATGTGACTTCAAAGTTATCAATATCAGATAACAACCTAACTGGCTGGAGAGCCAAAAGTCAGCCAGAAATACATGTGTCAAATTGTGTGCAATCTCTGATGGAAGTCATAGTTATGAAATGGTCCGGTTAGCCCGTGAGCCTAAAAATAAATCAAATAGAGGAGCTTGGGTGCTTAGTGCTTAAAAGCCCAAGCCCGGAACCATAACGAAATCTGAAGATCACTAAAATTCCGTCTCTGGAAACTTACCAAAAATTGGAATGGTCCGGTTGGGTATTCGAGACTATCGGAACGTTCGGTTTGGAGTTCTGTCAATTTCTAATTATGTTTTCAATTTTTTTCGAATGGCTATCTAGTAAAATTTAAATTTTAATAGGAACTTTTGTAATAAAATAAATTCCAACGTACATCAATATTTAGCCACACTAAAAATTTATTTTGAAATCAACTTTAGAAAATATAGCGGTAACTCAAATGGAAATTTGAAATCCAAACAAAAGATAATATAATTATTTAAAAATAATAATAATAATAATACCTTTAACTTTTGATACCATTTCAGTTATAACATAGAATAAGACTAAGAAAAGTATCAACAAATTACATTTAAAAAAAAGAGAATATTAATTATTCATTAAGTATTATTAAGTATAAAATTTAAGTGAAATTAATTTTTATTAATATATGTTATTCAGTTCTTAATTTCGGCTCTTAATTTCGGTTCTTCTGTTCGGTTCAATATGAGATGGTTTGGTTCGGTTCTCGGTATGAATATTTATGAAATCTCCAAAACTGTAACAATTATTTTTTCGGTTCCGTATAGTTTGGAGAAAGTCGAACGATCAACGGTTATTTTTCGATTCGAAGGAAGTCAAACAGTCAACGATTATTTTTCAGTTCATGATTTAGGTTCGATTTTCGACACGGTATAAATTCTCCGAGTCTCATGCTTAGCCCTATTACCACGAAGTGAGGAACAAGAGGAGTCAGTTACTTACAAAAGTAAATAATTCTAGAACTAACTATCAAGAGGCAACAATATGATTTGCCTTTGTATTGGTCTTCTTTTTTGTTGTTCAATTGTTTCTTACATGAGTGGTGTTTCCATTGAAGACACTAGATGAGGCATTACACAAAGTACAGAAAATTTCCAATACACAGGTTACACGAGTGGAGGCACAATTGGAGATAATGGCCCAACTCAATCAGCTTAAATTGATCAACCTGCTTACACTAATGACTTCTTGCACTTGTCTAATCCTGGTGAATCTCCTAAATCAAGTAAGCCGCATAACTTCAATGGCTTCCATAACAGTTTGTTTTATAACGAAAGAAGCACTTATGTTGAACCAAGTCTGTGCTTGATAAGCACAGTTAATTTTCCGTATTTGGTATGCTTTAACTAGAGTTCGCATACCGTCTCAACCACTACTTAAGCATTCTTCTCCATTTAATTATTTTGTATCTGAACTAATGACCTTTGTTCTGACATTCGTCATAGGACTTAGCAGCTTGGCAAAGCTATTATGTCAGCAATAATGCTCAATTCAGATCTTTCAAGATTGACTACAAAATTTTCCCTGAGGTTAGTGTAATTACAAATTTCTCCACTAATCTCCGGGAATTACAATTATTCCCTTACTATATTTAGTATTTACCTTGCAAACTGCCCTATCGAGAGTGCAGTCTGTAAGACAATCAAATGAAATGGTGTACCGATTAAAAAAAATGGCTGTCATTTCTCATTATGAAAGATAAACATAGTTTTATTGTAATTAAGACTATTCTCAGGAGTAGCTTTCATAACTTTCCCAATCTTTTAGCTCTAGTGCATCCAAGAAGGACATGCGTTCAGTATACCAAGCAAAACGGCTATAAAGGGTCAGAACATGTATAAAGAGTTAGGTTAGTAGCAAAGATGTCATGGAGGTTGATGCATGTGAAAATTTTAACATTGCCGAAAAATTAATTACATTTCCAACGAAGGAAGTTTCTGGAGAGTTGGTCTGACCTAAACAGAAGTTGTTCAAAGGCTTTGAAGTAATCCTAAATGTTCTGAGAGTGTCTTTTCTCAATCAAAAGCTTGAGAACTATGCAATGTCTCAATATACTGAATTAGGACTTGAGTTCGAACTGGGGATTATGAATACCGATATAGATTAGCTACCAGCTGCACTGTGCAATGAGCAACATCAATCTCCCTCTAAAACATTGAAGAATTTAAATGATGAACTTATCTTTTGGCCGATTGACGTAACCTAATGAAGTAGTGCTCATTTGGGTTTATATAATATAACAGTGGCCTTCTTTAAACAACTGACCCGAAAAATCTACACGAGATTACATAGCTACACCATAGATTCTGGCCTTGTCAGACCATTCAGAAAGCTTCATTCAAATTGTTTCATCAAGTCATGTCAAAATTTCCAGATATAGTTAAATATATATCACAGTTCAAGCAATTATTTTTTGTTCACTAGATTCAAAGAAACTTAATGATACCAAGCCAAGGGAGATGGGCATTATATTGAGAAAAAGATTAGGAAACAAAGAATAACTTAATGTAATTTGATAAAAGAACAAGACGAGAGAGAAATAGTATAGCTGAA